TGTTTCACTCACACATGTTAAAGAACAGAAATAATACTTGTATTACAATATCTAACACAATATACAGAATAGAAATGTATGTATAGGTATGTACATATAAGTAAAAAATAAAAATGGAAATAGAAATATAATAAGAGCCTAAGAGATATGATAAGAGCCTATATACAAAATAAATATAAATGTAAACATATTCCACAGTATGTGACAGAAATAAAAAATAGTAATGAGTTTAAGATTGTTGGCGTGTACAGTAGGATACTGGAGTTTTGGATGTAGTTTTGCACGTTTATAACAACATAACACAATTAAGTCTGCAACTAATAATAATTTTCATAATGAATTTTCAATAAATTGAGTTTACAAAATGTTAGAATGTAATGATGTATAGTTCCCATAGGACGTAGCCCAAGTGAGTAAATTGAAGGGAGAACTTTTTCCCACTAATACGACTGCGACTGGAGAAAGAATTTGTTATTTTTGGCATTCTCTTACTAAGATAAGGTGAATGTGCACATGATATTAACTTAAGATTACATTTCTTGTTAGATGGTCTGAGAAACTAAATTCAAAGTTTTAGACGTGCATGAATAAATGGGATAAAACTGGTGCTGTGACTGGAGACGTATGGACACAGTAACAGAAAGAGGGCTGCAATCATCATTCTGCTTATCAAATACTCTCAAATAAGTATTATTTAGGCAGATAAGCCAATTAAGAACCAATTTTCATTTAAATAAAACAAACTGTTTAGATATACTGTATGTTAAATATAAAACGTGACATTTTGGTTTGATCTGAGCTTGATTTAGAGCTGTAATGATCTGCTCTGTAGGTACTTCAGGGTGTTTTTGCATGCTACCACATAGTGACATAGCTTACATGATTATATGATCTATGCACAATGTTTTGGTCTTTAAAAAGTGAACTTACAATGCTTCCTCGCATACTCGTACTCGCTCGCAGCCTTCTGGTGGCTCGCGCTGAAAGGAGCAGGTTTTGTTGGGACGTGGAGAGGAGGAGCAGGACTGCAACAGAGGAGGATCCAGTGCAAATGAGGGGAGTGACGTCGACGGAGAGGGACACAGGGTCTCACAGTCCACAGGTTCTGCATGGAAGAGCATAAATATTGAAACTTTTATTAGAAATACCTTCAATAAATCCAGAATAAAATAACACATTGCCACAAAGAATATAAAGTGGTTTTACCTGGCTCTCCCATGGGACAGGGAGACTGTGATGGAGACAAGAGAGCTGGGTTCAATGGACAGGGGGAATTTGAAGGCGACAGAAGCAAGGGATCTAGCGGACAGGGGGACTGAGAAGGAGAGAGGAGGGAAGGGTCCAGGGGGCCTGGGGAGGGCTCACTCTGAGAGCCACTGCTGCATCTCTGGGCAGGGACAGGGGCCCTGTGGCCATCTGGGATATCCAAAATCTGAAATGTTCAGGAGGAAACAAGGGATCACTAGGCTGTCAAAAAAATAATACAATATCTCAAGAAAACAAACATTGTCATTGTAAAATCAGACATAAATTATTTTGTTATTATGATTGCTCTGTCGGTACCTGTGGGGACATTCTCTGGCCTTCAATAGTTTACAAAGTTGTTTATGATACAAATCCATAGAATATATCACAGTCAGAAATGTAAAATACATGGAATATGGCCTGACCTCATGCTGATCATCAGGTTTCTCAGAAACAAACACCTCCTCCAGCTCCAAGTTTAGGCCTTCAACACTACGTCGCAGCCGTGGTGCAAGTCTGTTCAGCGGCATCAGGGGCACTGTCTGTAGAAAAGGTCAAATATAGGCAAATTGTACACAATAAGTAAGTGTGTGTCTTCACTTGTGGCCTGATGTCTTGTTCTACAAGCTTGTAATTGCATGTTGGATATAAACCAGTGTCAGTGCTGTTGTCCATGACCACACTCTGCCTCTTTACTCTGTCACTTCTCTTTGAAGACTGGGTGTGTAGCTGATTAATTAAAACTGTGTCATTATGACACATTTAATGGTGGCCAATCTGTACAATAAAATATATACACATATTTATATATATATATATATTGATGTATTGTTTAGCTTTGTTTTGTTTGTCTTTTTTTGAAGAGTTCCAGCTACTAATGTCTGATGCCCCCTCTCCCAGTGTCTGACTGACGATTTTGCCCTTGGCACAGTATGATATGCTGGTTTCAAATTGTCTTTCTGTGACAGCATGTCAGTAACACCGGAGCTTTGATGACAGCAGGTCCTAAGAAAAGCACCAGTGTTTTTTTTATATCCCTGTTACTAAGCTCTTCCCTAGTCTGCCTGTGGAAGACAGCTGGTATCAGTGGGCCTAATGAAAACTTTGTTCTTTGTGTCTTTGCCTCACATGTCATTAGAAGACAAGAGCAACGGGCTACCTGAGTAATGCCTGCGGCATGACCTGCTGGCAGGGGGTGGTGGGGGAGCTCGTATCCTGCTGAGGGAGGGGCATGGCGGGAGCGCTTCTGCAACTGGTGCCTCAGCTTGGCCACCTGAGGGCAGAGTGGAGAGAAAAATGATTCAGGAGTCACTATAATTCATTCTGAAAAGGGAGAGGTTACTCACTTTTTCCCTCAGGGGCTGTTAATGTTTTATGCTATCAGCGGGAGGGTGGGAGTAAAGCGTGCGAATACAAGTGAGAAACAGCTGATTAATGAGCTGCTATAGTGATGAACTAAAGTACTTGCCTCCCTAAGGTGCTCTGCACTGCCCCACGACGCTGAGCGCTTGTGTCCTCCGCTGCTTCTCCTTCCCCGGGTCTCCTCGGCCCAGGAACTTGGGGTCTTTGAAAAAGATATTATGAGTGTGGTGAATAACGAGTCCAGCTGTCAAACCTTTGGGCGCTGTGGTAGAAAATTGCCGTTTTTGGCAGTAAGTCTGGCTGACAGCAGCAGGGCTGACCTTTTGGAGGCCCCTCACATTTTGTGTTAAACCCAGTGAACTCCCAATCAACACAACAACTTGAGAGTACAACACAGAAGTGGAGTCCCACAGCTGTCTTGCACACCTGCCTCACAACAGCTGTATAGAGGAAGGCGACGAGAAAACCACTCTGAGCTGCAAAACAGCCCCGCTTCCACACACATAAGAAAACATCCAAACCACATCATTGTAAAGACTATAAATACAGTGCAAGTATCAGCATTCAACACTTCAGTGCCCTTACACACACATACTATCATGCATACAGTAAACCTGTTATTCATAAAGTCACGTACTGTAGAGGAAACACAGACAAACAGACAACAGGGAGATTTTTTCCCCCACTTCTTCTTTTGTCATTCACAACTCCTTAACGTCCTACTCTCACTCATAAGGCCATACCGATTTCTTCACATTGACTCTTGATCTTCTACCAGGGGGAGTCTGGTTGACCGCTCCCGGCTGCTGGTTGGAAGCAGACGACTGGCAGTTCATCATCACCAGGTGAGAAGAGGTTAAGTTGACCCACAGGATCAGATACTGTGTACTCAGTTCTGGTGCCTCCACACTCCACAAGTCAACTGCTTCACACACTCGCAAAACAATCTGATCCACTCTCTGGTGTCCATGCCATTCATAAGGCAGCTAACATTACAGACAGTCACTTAGCTCTCACTGCCTGCTGAGTGGTTAGGTCATGGTTTTCTGTCCCCAAATACGACCCCTGTTCTTTAGGTGTCGGCCTCACAACTCAGTGCAATCCTACTGGTGCCATATCTGAAACACCGACACCATCTTCTGCCATCGACTCGTACGTAGCCCATCGTCTGGCTAAATAAGTCAGAATGCGGTATGAGTCAGTCATACAGTGACATCGGTGTAGAGTTACAGCTGCCAACCAAGCCCCCGCACCCCCAATCATCCAAAACATGAACAGGGGGATCATGGGACACAAACCTATAAAAAGACTCAAAGGTAGCACACCATTTGGTCTAGCATAGCTAGTGTTTCCAGTTTGGATAACTCATTAACGTGCACTTAATGCCTGTTTCCGATATGGCCACAGTAATAAGAATATGCCTGAATTTTTTATAATAATTATTATATCGTTATTAATTAATTTGTTGATTCAATTCTTGACTTATAAATTAATTAATTAATTAAAATGTCAAAATAATAGTTAAAAATGCCCATTTTTTGCAAAATTACACCAAGGGTTAGGGTTTTATATAAAACAGGAAACAGATAAATAATAAATGCCTTAAATTAAATTATTTTAATAATACATTTACTTGGATATTAAAATTGTTTGTCATTATTATATTTTAATTGGACTAACTGATTGATTATTTCAGCATTAAACAGGAGCAACTTACATTAAAATGTAATTACTGACCCTGACATTCATTTCTGCCATACACATTTTTGTAGTCATAGTTGTAGTCAGTGTTGTTTCTGAATTGCATCGTATTATTAAGGTTGTTATAATATTATTTTATCCACATTCATAGGCACATATTTAGCACATATCTGCAGAATTACTACACATTTAAAAAAGGTTAACTACGTTTATAACGTAGTTGTTATTCTGTGTACCATAGTTTAAATGAATCTCATTTTGGCCATAAATGTTTTATTTAAAATTTTATTTTATTTTTTCCTTTTGATTTTGTATATGTGTTACTGGAAAATGCATGTTATATTTTTTTTATGTACTTTTTTGATAAACAGTCTTGTAAACCCATGTAGGACTATACATACAATCTACAAATGTGACTATACTATTGAGGAATTGTAATAATATGCCTAATGAAGAATGAAATGGCAGTGAATCATCAGTTATATCATCAAAAGTAATGCAGAGGAACTACGGCATACGGAGGTGCTGGGTGGGGCGGCAGTGTGCATGTGTGTGGTTGAGGAGAGTGCTGGGGGATGGGGTGTCTATATAACGAGGTCAGGAGGGGTCTGTTTCGCACAATGGAAGCAAAGGGGGTTCGTTCGGGGTTTAAACTGTGTCAGGAGCGAAGACGAAGCTTGGTGATGTTAGTCAGGGCTTTGTGCACTAGTTAGGAGCAGATACAGTCGAGGGGGGAGCGAGGGAAGAAAAGCAGAGTTTAAAGAAGAACAAAAACGACTATTTCCAGTTGGCTGCCTTCTACCCACAGCGTCAAACTGGAACCACCAGCCACCTGCAGAGCCAACATCAGATATCTTGTCCTCTATAGAAATCCTTAACACACAAGAAAAGCAGCGCAGAGAAAACATTTGGTCTGCTTTCAGTCTGCAACATGAAGCAACAGGTTTTATGGAAGAAGCGTTACACCAGCAGTAGCACTGGTATAACAGAGCCATTCATCTGGCCCCAGTTTTGTCTGATTACAGTCATTACACCAACGTATCACAACTAATTTGACAGTGTATTCACCTGCGTGGCTTTGTCGTTCACACAGGTAACTGCCGTGCTCTCGGCCTCTTTGGGCCACTGTCCCTGCAGATAGGGTCCAACGATGGCATCCAGAGAAAGAGTTCGGCGGATGGTGGGTTTCGGTGGGCGAGCCGAGGTCCTGTCAGCTTTTGGGAACACAAAACACAATACGTCAGTGAGCAGGTTGAGGTTGTGCAAGCTTTAATGCAGCACAAAATATTATCTGTCTTGCAGATGTTATAAATAAAACTCATGTCTGTGTGATCATGTTTAGCTTTAACACTGCATACGACATAAAAAACTCTCTTTAAGAGGCTAAACAGTATTTTAACACCAGTGGTAGTTGTTCACAAAATTGCTTCCAGGTTTCCCCCCTCACCAATAAGCATGCAGCGTGCAGAGTTGTGTGTGTGTGTGTGTGTGTGTGTGTGTGTGCATGTGTGCATGTTGGCAGCTCTTTGTAATCTCTGGCAGGTGTGGACCATGCCTTTGACCTGGAGCAAAGCCATCCAACTACACAACACTGACAACAGTCACCACAGGCTGCTAGTATATCTACCACCAACCCAAACACACACACACACACGGTATGTTGTCATCAGCCCAAGTTGCAGGGCAGACAGGATGTATAAATAAACACCACTGCATGCAGATGTGACTTTCGTGGATACAGTTAAAGAACAACACGCACAAAGTAAAACAAAGAAGCCTTAAAAGCTGCTGCTGTGTTAGCATGAAGCATGCAGCAGAGATCCCACAGGTCAGAGTGCAAAGGGGCGACTGAGAGTCCAAATAACATTATGAGAACAGTGTTATGTTTCAGGGTTAGCAGCCTTCATTGTTGACTTAACTTTCTCATAGCATGTAAGAATTGCACTTTTTAGACCCCCAATCAAGTAAAAAAGTCAGATCAGAAGTTAGTCAAGCTGAAGCAGTTTGTTCCTTGAACTAGCATTATTACTAACTAGCATAGCATTAATAGTCACTGTAGTCATAAAATCAAGCATGCTTTGTAAAAAATCTAATAGTTAATAAAGTATAAAGCAAAATTAATAATTTCTGTATGAGCACATGTTAAAATGCAAATGAATAAGTTCATTCATTCAAAAATGCTTCATCAATTTAGCTTTGTGAATACCTGGGACTGATTTTATTTTCTCAATTAACTTATTTTTTTGTTCCATCAACCTAAAAATATTTATACTGGGATATGCCAGAGAAAAAGCATGCTTTCCTTTGTGATACAAAAAAAATAGAGAATGTGTCAGTGACTTTGTTGCTATCTACAATATTTAAACCATAAACACCCCTCACCATGGGAAACACACTTAAAAGGCAGATACTGATGATAACGTGATACCAAATAAACTTTTTAGCTGTGGACCACATGGAAGTGAATGCAGATTTAACCCCCCCTCCTCTTCCTCCTCCTCCTCCTCTCTGTGTATTTACCCGTCTTGACCTCTCTGCAGAGGAGAGCTGAGCCCCTCTGGAGCTGGTATGGGACTGTGGCTCTGAGGGGCTGCAGGCTGGGGTTGCTGCACCCCCGAGGTGCTGCTCCACTTCTGCCCGACATCCCCCACTCCGCTCCCACAGCCGAGCTCCGCTTATGAAAACACACACACACACACACACACACACGCAGCTTTTGCTCCTCTTCTCTCCGTCGTTCACTGCAGCTCTGCACGGCGCTGTCCGTCCCTTCTGCCCGCATTCACTTCATCCACACTGATGATCCGAAACTCTGATCGGGCCTCTTGTTGGTCACCCAGCTTTCTGTTGTGATGATGAACATGATTTTTTGTTGCTTTCACAGCTTGCTTTTCGGTTGTTTGTTGGGTTTTTTTGCAGTTCACCTCATCTGCTCAATCTCTATCCTTCATGGTTGCAGTCTGAAGCGGACACCAGCAGAGAGGCGACGCGGTGCTTTCCCGCATTACCGCTTGTTTCCCTTTTCTGCAAAGTGACAACAGCACAACCTGTGCAACTCTCTCATGTAGTGTATCATTCCAAGGGAGGGCGATCTGGTTGGTTGCTGCGGAATACTACTGAGCACTTATTGGCCGTCGCACCCATCTGTCTCTCGAAAGGAAACCCCTCCCAAAACTTCCCAATCCACTTTTGAGGGGACGTTTTCCTCCTCTGTGGGGGGCATGGCCCTCCTCCTCCTCCTCCTCCTTCAAACCCACGTCCAAACCTTGGGTCTATTCGGTCTCTCTCTCTCTCTCTCTCTCTCTCTCTCTCTCATGTTCATAAAACATTCACCACAATAACTTTTTTACTTGCTTATCATAAAATCCTAAAAGTTAAAACACTGATTTAAGTCAGGGCCGAGGGTCAGGGGTCTTTTTTCACTGATTACACCACATAAAAGTTTAGTGTGTATTGGCAGAAATGAAATATAATATTAATAGGTGTGTTTTTATTGGTGTATAATCACCTAAACATTAGAATCTTGTGTTTTCTCCTTAGAATGAGCCGTTTTTATCCACAGAGGATCCTCCTCTACAGAGCCCACCATGTTATACCACAATGTTTGCCAAACACTGACTAAGGCCATTTTTCACAAGTTTAGCAGCTACCATAGTTTTTTCTACACGCTTGGAAGGCTGAGCTGTATTCAGTTGGTTGAAATCTGCAATTTTACCACTAGATGCCACTAAATCTTATACACACTGGACCTTTAAAAAAATATTTTTTGCTTCAATTTACTATTTCTGCAATAAAAAGAATGAAAAAAGTACAAAGCCCTCAACTGTAGTCAAAGTTAATGATATAATTAAAAACATACCTTTCTGATACAATGCAAGAAGTGCACTGTGTTTTATAGATGATAAAGAGTGCAACAAACCTCATGCACAGTATTCAATAATACTTTGATGTATATCTTCCTACAAGGTATGAGCCACAAACACAATCTTAAATGAAACTAAAGTTGCGTATATATATATTATCTGCATGAAACCTAAAAGGCCTCAAGGTAACAGTTTTTCTGTAATTCCCTAGCACTGTATTACCACATGCATATGCTCTCATTAGACCTTCATAAGGGCCTTAACAGAGGCTCAATGAATCTCATGCACAATTAAATTTGTGCATGAGATTTGTGCATTAAAATTTATACTGCCAGCAATGTGTTCTGGCAACAACACACAGACTACAGAAAGTCTGGACGAAATACTAAGCACGTGTACCAGATTATAGCACCATGTAAAATGAACCAAGTAAAAAATGAATCCAGTGGGTGTTTTAGATGTTTCTGCATTTAATAGTCATTTTGGTAGCATGAATAAAACCTTCTCACACTATCTGTCACTCTGTTGACTGCGGGGGGATGTGGCGCTCTCTGAAAGGCGCTGTGGCTAAGAGAGTGAGGGGAAAGCAAGTCAGGTCACCCATAAACAATATGGCAACGCTCTTCTACCTTGCAGTGAGAAGGCATCGAACTCTATTCGGTGGTAGCATCTTGATAATGCACACTTCAGCAGGATGGGTGCTTACAGGTTGACTGAAATGTTATGGTTGCAGTCAGTCAAAGAATATTTTTGATCCATCTGGAGGAATCCTCTGTACAGTCCAACCTCGCCTCATTGGTTAAAATATTTATTTTTATAATCAAGCTACCCATGTTTTTGTCTGTAAGACCCTCAAGTTAAGAATGAATGAGCATTCTGGGCTTTCTTTCAATGTTACACCACAAGATGGAGCCAGAGCTTGTGTCCCATGCAACTAGCAGCTCAATCAAACATCTCTATCTCCATTTTTAAAATTAATTTTTAAATGCTTTTGCCATTGTCGTTCTGTGATCTACATAAACAAACACACGTAATGGAAAAAGGCAGTTTATTGCAACACAAAACAAACAAAAATAATGTATGCATGTAAAAAGAACACACTGCTGTATCAGATAAAATTAGATAAATCAAAATATGTGGTAGCTTAAGATTGGAAAGATTCAATAAATAGCTGCACAGATTTAAACAAACTGTAACAGTGTTTGATTACTCAAGCAGGAATGATATGCACTTTCAGGGGTGGCAGACCCCAGATACTATTCAGTCACACATAAAACATACTTCTCAGTGCTATGTCACTGTAAGGACAGTCTGTAAAATTCCTCCTCTACTTTATATGATAATCTGCATCTCTTAAAATGATCATCACATCTCTCTTTGCAAGTGGCTGCATCCAAAGAGCTGCAAGTGCTGTTTTGGTTACATTTTGACAAGAAAACTGGATAAAACAGGCCAAGGCGCACAAACACACAGACGATGTCATGGGAAGAATACTCGTAAAAATACAAATTAAGGAAATAAACGGATGCACTGGAAAAGGTCTGACAGGAGTTTTCAGGAATTGATGATGATCGTGGATGAAAGGATTCACAGATAGTACAAAGTGGCTGTGGTAAAAGTGTGAGAGAAGAGTCGAGCGGATAAGGCAAGGAGAAGGGAAAGAACCAAAAGAGATGGGTCCTATCAGCTTCATGATGACTTCACTCTCATGTGTACAAAAATCCAGAGATGGTGTGATGATTTTCCTGTTGTATTCTCATGGAGCTGTCAATGGTCTTGGTGGATTGTGGGTGCAGGGTTTTGGTCGGGTTTTCAGGCATGGTCAACGCAGCATCACCAGGCAGACAGGCTGGGGGTTAAATCTCTGTTGTTGTTGTTGTTGGTCTGCAGCTCCTAGCTGGGAGAGAGCGCAGGGCTGGGTTCAGTGCTGATGTTGACCAAACACTCGCTGGACTTGAGGCTGGCCAGGGACTTGGAGCTCGGTAAAGAGGCCAGAGAGCCACACAGGCCCAGCATGGAGGGAGTGTTGTCTTTTCCTACAGGGACAAAGCAGAGGAAAAGCACACAAAAATTGAGCCTCTGATCATGCATAGTTTAAGCTGCCCACATGAAACACCATAAACAGGCATCAAGAGTGCCTTTGTGTGAGTATGTATGTACATGTGCAGGGGTGGCTGCCTCTGAAAGGCTTTTATGCAGTAGTGGAAAGAGCACAAATATATTCCTACTCAAGCAGAAATGTTACTTTACAACTGTGTTTTCTTTCTGGAGTATATAAAGTGTTACTACTTTAAAAATGGACACAGGAAAAGTTAGTTACTTTAGAATATTGCATTAAATGGCTGACTGTAAGCAAATATGTCGTGATGAATGTAGCCGCAGTGGAAAGTTGTTTTACCAGCTGAAGTCCAGGCAGCATCTCCGTTCTGTCTCCCATCAGTCTTATGGGAGTCTGAGTTCAGACTGACTTCAGCAGAAAGTTGCTCCAAACTGTGGAAACTCCTCCTGGGTGGACAAAATCATCATCATTGTGGCACACATACCTGAAGCAATGCTCTGTGCATTAATTGTAACTACAGTATAAGCAACTGCTTCTTTATNNAAATTTAAATGTAAAAACAAACAAATATAGAAATAGAAACATACTGTTAATTTCAGTTTACCTGCGGAAAAGCTTGACATCACCCTGGTTGTTTGTGATGGTGGACCACTGGTTGACCAGCGGGATGGAAAGATCTTTAGCCAGATGGGTGGAATCACAAGGCATGAGGGCAGAGCTGAAGCAGAGTACAAATAATTTAATTCAGAAGTGATACTAGTACTATTTACTACTCTTATTTAAATATACACTCCCTGGCACTCAATAGCACCACCAAATCCCCAAATTTCCAACTGTAGTCAAATCAATATAGTTCATAGTTGATGTCAACGGTAAGCTAGGGAGGAAATTTGGGGATTTGAGGATGCTATTGAGTGATGTAACATCAACTTTAGGTGTGTTTATCTGAAAGTGTAAAAAATCTATAACTTCTCATTGAGTATTGCATCATAAACTGGCATCGAAAATTGCATCTGCATCAAATTTGTAATTTCTTTTCATCTTCTACGGAGAAAAATACTGTAAAGTAGGTTTATAGACCATTAATCTCTGTTATACTGAGGAAAATATTCCATCAAAATAACAACTGTTTCTCATTGTAAGGCTATTCTAAAATTCCTCTTGTAACCCCTGCTGAACGGAAAGCTGGTGTGTGTGTTATAGCAAGAGCTTTTTAATCAGGTAAATGTAATTCAATGTTTGTGTGTGTGTTTTGTTTTCTCACAGTTGTGCCTGCAGCTCCAGCACGATGGCCTCCAGCTCCTTCTTCTCCTGTTGGCTCTGGACAGTCAGCTCATCCACCTTGGCTCTCAGACACTTGTTCTCCGTCTCCACATTCTTCAGCTGCGACTCCCGCAGGCGCACCAGCTCCTCCAGGTAACCCTGCGGCATGAAAATAAAGAGACAGGAATTTGTATGTAGAAGCCCATAGTGAGCAACAAGAATTTAAACATTAACTTGGTTTTAACAGTTGTTGTGAGTCACCTTCTGAGCATAGACGATCTTAAACCTCTGCTCCATCTTGCGACACTTGTTGCTCCAGCTCTCCTCGTCGGTCACCAGAGGGATGTAGGGATGCTCGGGGACGCTCTCCTCGCTGTTACTGCTGTCCACACTGCGACGGTCCTCCTCATCACTCAGGTAGTCGTAGCTGCACGGCGAGAGAGGCGAGAAAGTTGCAGTGTTACAACAACTAAAAAGTTTAGTGACCGGTTCAGGTGGGTCAGTCTCACCTCTGAGTGAACTTCAGGTAGGGTGTGTAGTCAATCACAGCTGGGGATTTCCCATCCAGAGTCTCCCCCTTCAAGCAAAAACTGCATAGAGACAGAGACAAAAAAAACTATTGACTCTGCTTTATCAGTAAATATCAGTGCATTGAAATGTAGTCTGGAAGCTACATGTGTAAAAATGTTTGTTCAGCTTTATGTATAAACAGTGCCTGCAGTACAGTGTACTATATGCCATTTTTATACTGTATATGTGTTAGGCATACTTTCACCTACATAATTAATAAGGAAATACATTAAACATGAGAGAAAGTACATATTCATCTTATCATAATGTATTATTCAGGAATACATACTTTATACTAATACTTTAACAGGGTTACTAAACGCAGATGTCGAGCCTCTGCATGAGGTTGCAAAAGACTTCTAAGACATAAATGTTTGATTCAATTATGTGAAATACCTAATGATTCAGTATAAACAGTTTGAAGATGCATTTGTACTTCTAAAATAGAATATGCTGCACAATTCTTAAATATAATTCATATAGGACACTTAGTTTACAAATACATACCACATAACTGTGTTGATTTGAAAAAGCCTGGAGTGTACTACTGTGTATATACTTATATAGTGAAAAACTGTATGTCAGTCTGCAGTGTATGTCTTCACCTGAAGTCGATGGCACTCAGTCCAATCAGCATACCAGTCAGGACTGTGGCCTCCTCTCTTAGCATAATGGCTCCATCATCATAGAACCTCCTGTCAGGCGAAGAGCTGGTTATCATCTCTTTAACAATACAACAGTGATTCTACCTGCAGCCAATTAATGATCTGTAGCCAGCATGTACTTTCCCTCTGGTGCAAAGAAAGTGATGTATTTTACTTTAACTGGACAAACTGAGTGATTAAGATGAGCAGACAAAGCCACAGGGGTGTTGTTAAGGTGGTGTAAGTTGTTAATATGAATAGAATCATCCCATTAAATCATCAGTCTGACCTGGTTGTTCTTGTGTCCCTCAGAGCAGTGGATACATATTCAGACAGACGTTTCTCCATCAGCGCCACTCGAATCCATGCACGCCCCTGCAGGACAATGTAAAAAGTGAGTAGGAACAGAGGCCCTTCTTTGCTGCTCTCTCTTGCAATATCCCACACACACACACACACACACACACACTCATAGTCATGGACACAGTTCTGCATATAAATACCCTTGCCTTGGCTCGTGATGTGCTGATGTTTTCTATGTTTTCGATGCTGGCAATGCAGTTGTTCTGCACCTTGCTGCATGCCAGCCGGATATATTCCCAGAAACTGCGTTGTCCATCTGAGCTGAACCAGCTTCCTGACCCTGGTCCAAGAATAAAACACAGCAATAAATCATTTCTGCTCTGACAACAGCCCACACTGGAAGCATGCAACCACGGCAACAGCACAGCTAATCGTATAATCATACACGTTTTTGCCATTTGATAATACGATAGTTTTGCCTCTATGGTTAATCTCTACAGTATAATCCATGCAGTATATTTCTATTCTAGTTATATATCAAATCTGTCTCACATTTATAGTCATATTAGCTGATTTGTCCATCTTTTCCTGTGCTATATGTTACCTGCAGTGTTACCTTTGAAGCGGTGGCTGAGGATGTGCTCTAAAATGGCAGCAAAGTTAATAAACTCCTCGGATGAGTCATCTATAGGCTCTGCTGTGTACTTTTCTAGGAGAGTCTTTACAGAGAATCTGCAACAGAAGCACAGAGAGAAAGAGGAATTAGACAAACACAGGACAATGCAATGGAAAAAAAAAATCTAACTCTCTACTTGGCATATGTGAAGCATTTGAACTTTTAGTTGGTTGTGTGCTGCACAAGCCGATGAAATGCAGCCGTCTACTGTACCCAAGCAGACAAATGTACTACTGTATTTGAACCCTGCAACAATGGCGGGGAGGAGGGTTTTTTTCTTTTTTGGGAACCACGCCATCTTATCATACTGAGGTCACCCCAATTGTCTTGTGTACTGCACAATGTACCCCTTCAGTGCTTTGGCAGTGTTACCATGAAAACAATACAATTAACCCCCTGTCTTTTCAGCCTTTGTGCACGCTGTGCTTCCAGGTTCCTTTGGGTCTTGTCTCTCTGAGGGACCGGCCAGCATCAAAGAATGATCAAATAATTCCCTCCCACTAATCTATACATTGTGGTCTGATCTATTTAGGGCAGCCGCTGTCTCAGCCTTAGTATGGCTTTTGACCTCACAAGCTCACCCTGCTGCACCCACAAGCAGCTCGCATGTTAGGAGCCGGCATCCAGGCACGGGCTCGGGCTGACAGCCTCTGTTTCGATGGGCAACACTAGCATCACCGAGGGCAAGACTGCCCTGGCAGTGGGAAGCACCTCCATAGCCAGGGGAAAGACTACTGTCTCCTTGGGCAACTCCTCCATCTTCAGGGGAGTGACCACCACCTCCATGGGAGATTCCACCATCCAAAGGCAAAAGACGACTGTGGCTCTGGGACGAGCCAGCTTCAGCCGGGGTACCACAACCACCTCCTTCCGCAAAGCCTTGATGTCAAAGCGCAGGAACACCTAAATGGAAAGGACCCCTGAAGCCGCGGCTAAGACACCCAAAGCAGCCAAGCAGTCCAAAAAAGACTCTAACAATGAGTGGAAAACCACATTCTCATCAAGCAAGACTTCCTTCACCAAAGGCAGGGTTTCGATCCTGAGGACTAAGTACGCCATCTCCTGGGGTAAATCCTCGATCTCCTGGAGCAGAACCACCATAACTTTGGGCAACACCAGTTTAGCAGTGGGCAAAACCTCTGTTACACGAGGGGAGACCACAAGCTCTCTCACCACTCTGACTTTCACCCATGGGACCAAGTCTGTGTCTGTGATCAAAACCACCCTCATCAGGGGCAAAGAAACGCACAGCAACGTCTACTGGGATTTTCACACATGATTCCTGCACACACTTAAAAAACCCAAGGATATTTCTATCTGGTCAGTTTTAGCAGGTCAGTAGTATTAAGAGTCAATAAAAAAAAATAGCTGCTATGTTTGTGATCAATGTGTGTCAGGAATTACGGTTCAGTGTGGGCATGACATCATTTGCTACCTGTTTGCACAATGTACAAAAGTGGATTCCCATGTAAGAAAGTGCTAAGTGAGTTGCAGATCTAATCGGTTTGCAATCAAGAGTGAGATGCTCCAAAGCCATGCTGAGCGTGTTATGCAAATGTGACAGTGATGAGATGATGGTTTATGGTGTGTCTACGAGGCAGGGAGGGAAAGTGTGAAACACCCATGTCAGATGTACATGGAGACAAAAGAGAGTGTGTGTTTTTCATCAGCACTATTCCTCCTGTGTATTGTGCATATAGAGTCATCACCATGTCTACATCCTGCCGTATAAGTGTGGTATTTTTTTGTGCATGCTGAGAAGATTTTGAAGTTTGCACATTTCCATAAGTATACTGCCATGTGTCCACCAGGAAACACAGTTTTGAACTAGAAAACTGTAAAAGCCGGTTGATGTAACAATGCTTATAAAAGTAACGTGTCTAAACACTGCTTGGCTTGATTGTTTTGTAAAGTTTTTGTGAGAGATTCTGCGATCTGAAAGACATAAAAGGTAGAAATTAAACAATAAAATCCGTAATGACTTGCGAACAGTTCAGCAAGGACACACATGGGTAGTACACACTAACTTAAGGATCCACACCCATGTTTCAAAACAGAGACCAAACACAAAAACACAGGAGAGGTGCAATCAAAGCCTCGAGAACATGAACACATCCATCATTTCTCTTATCAAATCTGACACAGTGCCACTCATTTCACATATGGTGTATACAGTCGTACACAGAGGCTATGTCTTACAATCAGAGGCTATAGGGAACAATGGCTCAGAAGAAAGTGATGTCACCGCAGATTGGCCCTTTTGCAACAATGTGTCCTTCAACCGTCCGGTGTCGTCGTGGAGATAGGACAATCGCTCCACTGTCCCATTCCCTCCAGATAGGCTGTGGCCACCTACGGCTGCCTCTGTCCATTCACAGGGACACATGGGTGGTATGTGGCCTTCCAGAGCCCACGTCGATCAGCTCAACGAAGGCATTATGTGACACGGGGGTCGTGCTATCCACGCTTAGCATTCTGGATTGTAGCTGATGTTACTATTATCCCCGAGGGGCAGAGAAGGGTGTGCTGCATGAGTGTGCGATGCTTTGCGTCGAGTGAGCCCCGAACCCCTCCGTCGAATCTGGGTCAGGAAGACGAGCTTCTCCTCAATGGGCAACACCAGCTTCACCGAGGGGAAGACGGCCTTAACCCTGGGCAACACCAGCATAAAGAGGGGAAAGAGCAAGCTTGCCATGGGGAGTTCCTCCATCTCCAGGGGCAGGAGCACAACATCTCTGGGCTCCTCAACCATCACCAGCGGAAAGACCAAGATTTCCCTGGGCAGCGCCTCCTTCAGCAGAGGCTCCACCACCACCTCTTTTCGGAAAGCCATCTTCCCCAAACGCAAGACACTCTAGATAAGAGGGCACCTCATCGCGGAGTGGGGGGAATGGTACAAAATGTCACAAGAGAACAGCACCATCACAGAGAATATACGGACACAACTACAGCATCTGCACAGAGTCTTTTCCAACTGAGAGCGAAAACTGGATTAAATCTATTTTTGGACCTTTGACATGATTTTGATGATGCCGGATTTATCATGGAAAAAAGGTCAGTGGCATCTAAATTCTGCCTCATAATGTTATCTGCAAATACCATGTAGGTCAAGGTTTAATAGAGCTCCGGGATGTTAGGTAGGGTTTCCTTTGAGTATGTGCTCTACTCCACCATGACCCACAGTTTTACTAAACAAATCATATTGGGTGCTGGGGCGGAGATTGACATTCATTGTCACATTTCAGCTCCCAAAGAACACAGGTTTTGACTTCTATGTTGTTGTCTTTAGGAATCTCATCAAAAGAGAAATTTTGTAGAGAATTGTACGATTCTGTCTAAAACTTAAGTCAGAGTGGGTAGTGAGACATTTTTTGGTCAAAACTGATCATATATTCGTCCTCTTTGTGCAGATTTCCAATGACAGAAATGTTTAAGAAATCAAGCAATTCCTCATTATGCAGAGTGCCACTGGAAAACCACCAAATGCCCCCAGTAGTTCCCAGGGCCCCAGTATTGGAACCACTGATTAATGGCTAAGCTACGTGTTTGTCGATGCTACAGCGCTTAAAAGCCAAAACAGAAGAAAGTCAACGATTGTAAAAGGCCTCTCTGACCAGATAAAGTGGCAGCGTTATCTCAAAAGGAACACTATAGCAGATGATTGTACATTAACTGAAGTCCTTTGATCTGAAGGGGAATTTCTGGCGTGCCTCAAATGCAAATGGATGGAGTGGAATAGCAACATGCTCTTGGTACGATTTGACACTGAAAAACAACTGCAGGGCCTTCTGACAAGCTTCTTTTGTGCCCCCTCTCACTCAGCCTGGATCGCGGCCAAGCCCACTCTCAGCTCTCTTTAAATGCCCTCTTGTTCTCCTCTCTCACCCCTCTACTGTACTTGCACAAGTGTGTTTGATCTGCAGCACCAACCCCAGACAACCAAAACTACATTTATCAGCAGTGACACTTAACCTGAGTACACAAAGCTTCACATTAACTCTCTCAGCTTCCATTTTCCCCCCATAAACACTTCCCTGACTCCTTTCTCTCTCTCTCCTTCCCTTCCCCTTTCTGTCTCTCTCTTTAGTCTTGGCATAACCAGCAGGATCAGATGACACAGGCGGACTCCTCACCGGCCGCAGCATTGTGTAACACCAGCCAGTGCTGTGTTTATCGTCCTGGATTGTCGGGGGAGACGTCCTGTCCTGTCCTGTACTGGATCGGCACAAAAGGCCAAGAGAAAGAATGCCGTGTGCCTTCAGGAATATTAAGATAATAATGATAATTTGGGGCCAAATCAAAAGAGAGTAAAAGACGTAAAAATGCAACTATAGTTGGGCGTGTCTCTCTCTCACCGCAACCCCCTCTGTGAATAAGTGTCAAGGCAAAGTGTTTCATGGTCAGAGGAGGTGTAGAAGGGGTTTGTGTGCAAGATGGACAGTAAGGTAGTTGGGCTGAGAAGCGCTGAGAGTGTAAATCAGATGTTTGAACCTGACAGGGGGGTAAAAGGAAGAATAAAAGCGTGTCACAGAGAAACTGCTGGTGAGAGAGTAGATGAGAGATGCCCAAATGTTTTGTCAAACCTATAGAAACCTGCTGTAATTTCACATACTTGATGTTGTTGGTAAAAATACAGCTTCGGAAATCAGGGAAAATGCAAACAGAAGGCTGCACAGAAACTGAACTAGACAACAGCGTTATTCCAGACGTGTAGGTTCAAAGATTTTCTTATTATTGTTTAAAATGGAACTGAGAGAAGTGGAAAGTGGTACATCTTGTTCAGAATTCAAAAAATCCGCCCACTTGCAGAAGCATGTCCATGAGTTATGAATATGTAGTGTTGTTTACTACGGTACAGAACATTCTCTACTCTAGAGCCACGCCCCGGAAGAGCTCAAACACTCAGCCAAGATGCACCACATCACCACCACCCTCTCTCCTTTCACTCCCCGTTCCTCTTGTTTACAGGACACAGCTGAGGGATTAACACCTCACATCAGACCTGTCAAGTCTCACTCATCTTATCTATGTTTTCTTAGGTTTCAACGTGTCCACAGCAACACGGCTCTACCAGTCACGGACGACGGCACCAGAGCTCTTAGCCAGACTAAAGCAACAAAACAGAAAAATTTTAGACATTACACTACAGCATGTGGCCTTCAAATCCAGCTCTGATAAACAAAAGTTAAACTGGATTTGCATGAAATTCCCACCGACTGCAGAAAAGCCTCAGCCCTGCCACATTAAGATAAAAACCTGTTGCTAGTGGCAACAGCACAGAGATACAGTAGTTCACGATGACACTGCTGTCACTGTGGACATGATAAATATCACTAAGTCTCTTCAAAGCCATTACGACAAAGTTCCTTTGGGTTTTTTGATGCTGCCAGGTAAAAAAAACAAAAAAACACTGCAGCTAAAATCATGGTTATTTTCATGTATTACATAGTATTCTTCTTACTTGACAACTTTTTCACCTTTTTTCTGCCATCATTATTTTTAATTTCAAGTCTAGGTTTCAGTGCCGTGAGAGAACTTTACTGTAACGCCTTTAAGTCCCTCACACAGGCCTCACGCAGAAAAATGTTCCATGTGGAGGTCAAAATGTTTGATCAGGTTTTTCTTTACGATACACAAATGTCTATTGCTGTACATATGTGTTTCTAATTAGAATTGGTTCTATTCTATTGAGTCTGAAACTGTAAACACGGCACTTACAGCAGACATTAGGCAAGTTTCTGTGCCTGATACTGGTGACCCACATTATGCCAGATCACTTAAATACACTGTGACCCCAGTTTTGTCTCTGTTATGACCCCTAGTAACAAGACCCAAAACCCAAATGTGAACAGAAACAACTCCCTCACCCCCCTCTCTTTTTCTCTGAAGTCCCACAAAAAGATATAACTTCATCAAATGAATTAGGAATTGAAAATGTTAATCTGTGTGTGTGCTGATTGTATTTTAAACGTGTATGATGTGACAGCGAGGGGAAAAAAAAGAGGTCTGACTTTATATATACACATATGTATTAGGGGAAAATAAAGGCTTTGCCTGGTGTACTAATCGAGCACTAACGTCAGCTTAGCTACTGTAGCCAGGCAGCAGTTCAAGCTGTGGAAGCAGCTGTGTCTCAGCAGCACAACAGAGCCTGGATCTCATATCTTGCACCAACATGACGCCCAGCCTGCTTCAATGCACAGCCATAGGCCCACACTGCTGATTCAGGATCTCTCTCCAGTGAGACTGTACGAACACACAACAACCTCTGACTACTTGAATCAATTCTGACCAGAATGGCATCAAGAAGAAAAACATTTTTAAAACAAAGAAGGTCAGAAACATCACGAATGAGGAGATTCAGATCTGACAGCGACACAGACTTGCCTGGAAGAAGTTGCCCTCCAACTGAACCTAATCAATGTCATGTTCATTAGGAAAATGGAAAGAAACTGTGTAGTAAGCATTACTGATGGAAAGCTGTTTGAGATTTATTTCTTGTCTTTGTCCTTGTGTGTTTGTCATTAAAAAGCTTAAATGATTAAATTGGTCTTAGCACGGTCAGGCCAAACTGAAAACAACAGTCTTTTTGTGCCCTCGCTAATCTTCCTCTGTGTCGTAAGTCCTTCGTGAGAACTTTTCTTTCTTTGCAGACATGCTCTGTGTTATGTTGTGTGTTCTGCTTCACTGTACGTGTCACTAAAATGCAGACAGGACCTTGGACAGAAAGGTACTGGAATAAAAAAAACGCTTGATTGTGTGTCTATTTGATGTGTCTGGACATTGTCTTTTTGAGTGTTATTTAGGTTTATCAATCCCCTGTACAATCACTTTGAACACAACCGAAGACAGAGACAGTCCCAAGAAAATAAAACAGAACGAAGTTAAGAGCATGATGTCACTTTGGCAAAACGCCTCTGCACAATAAAAAATAATAATTACGTCCCTGTTTACAATATCATTTATGACTATAGTCAATTTACAATTAAAGACCCATAATAATGCTGTAATAAATTTGACTATGAAGCAGGGTAACGACACTACAAAATATCTACATCAAATAGAGTAGTTGTTCAACAGAAAAATAATCAACTATTTTGATCATTTAAGTCATTTTTAAGGCAGAAATTTGCTGCATTCAGTCTTTTATGGCTGTGATTTGAATATACGTGGGTTTCGGAGTGTTAAAGGAGCTATAAATCTATATTTTTCAGTATCTTTCTGACATTTTATACATAGTTAATCAATTAATGGGGAAATTTTGATTGATTGATAATGACAACAATTGTTAAAAGCTCCTATATCATGTATTTTAAGTCTGAGATGGAGTTGCTATTATTAAGTACAACACTGAGACAATAATAACAATATGTATTTTCTGATGACTGTAAATAATACCAAAGGGATTTCCACAAAACAATGGCTCCCGCTAAGAATACCACCATTAAGGAAACTATAGGATCGTCAATGCACAACATTATTCTGTATATTTTATGTATATAGAACTTTTTTTTAGACTTAGACACCATTTAACAGGAAAAGGTCATCACTAATATTATGTTAATGAGTCTCTCAGGTACACTACAATGATTAATAAGTATGTTGTAAACTGTATGATTGTTTTTTTTCAAATGTTAGATAACATATAGATTAGATACTAGAATATATAGATTTTCAACTCTAAATTATACTTATAAGCTTATTTATATCAGGGGTTCCCAAACTGAGGGGCCACAAAATAACTTGAAAGAATAAGAAAGAAAAAAAAACATATTAAAAAGGCAGATTTTTCCTGACTTTTCTCTAAATTTGTGCTTTATTCTTGTGAAGTAGTGGATTCAATAACATCCTCTGGGCCTCCCCTTTTGTCAAACTACACACTAAGCATGTCCACACTGACGGGCCGACTACAGTGAACACAAACCCAGCCTCAATCTGTGATTAGTGGTTGCAACTTCTTTTACAAAAAGTTGGAAACTACTCCTTTAGATCACACTGAGAAACACAACAGACGCCTTAATATCGATGATGTGCATATAAAAGAAACCTCATTAAATTGCCCAAAAACATTTGAACACTAAAGCCAAGAGATGTAATTTAGCAACTGGACATGCCGACAACTACAGTCTCATCAGGTAAATTAAAAAGGTTCCTCTCAGCTCAGACTTTACGGCCCTGACCTCTCTTCATGCTGCACAAGACCGTCATATAAAGAGACTGCACATTACAGTCCACCAGGATTCACTGTACTGTGTAGGCTGAGGGACACTGATGATGAAGGAGGAGGAGGAGGAGTCCTTGCACTGCTTCAAATGCCCTTGTCCCACACTCAACCTGACTGTGATGGAGGGAGAAACCTGCTGTTGGGCTGATTTGGTTTTCATTTACATCCATTAAAGCTGCATTTATGAGCAGGGACCGACAGATCAAGCAGGTGTCTCAACCTGTTCAAAATAAAAACAGACTCTCCTGTGAGAGATTTTAGAGGGATGCTACATGAATGTCACACCAGAGATGATGATGATCTTTAAAAAAATGGAAATGGTACAGCAAAAGTGCATGCAGGGAACAAAAAGGATGCTATAAACTCACTATTTGAGAAGAGAATTAAAGGAATAATGAAGGTTTTATGGGTTTTATAGACAAGCGGGTGTGATGGCAGGGGTATGTGAAGGTGAAAACGCACCTGCCTCCTCTTCATCCCTTCCCATTTCTAGAAATGTGTGCAATTTTCTGCATCTATTCTGCGTCCTGCTGCCATTGTTTCACCCCAGGAACCGGCGCAGGGATGATGAGCTTGTTAAATAAACACCCTCCTTCATGCAGCATGCAGGGGGGGGGCAGATAATACAGCCGGTCGACGGTGTCGTGATGTATACCTGCAAACCGTGATGAGGTTTTTTCGCTCCACGCCGACGCTCCGAGCAGACGCCTTTTTCGGTGTCAGACCCATAGCCATTGCGGTCTGAATGCAGCCCGACTCCATCCAGCGGCGGCCCCGGGGCCTCTTCGGGATCCGTGCCCAGGCCAGGACCCCCCTTCCCCCCTGTGTCCTACAAACACCCGCTGTCCTCTGCGGGGGGAGCCACGGATGCTGCTGCTGCTGGAGGAGGAGGAGGAGAGGAGAGGAAAGCGGCGACAATGTCAAGTTAGAGGTGATTATATGTTTAAATTCCGGTTAGGATTTTCGAAGTAAAATCACCGGCACTTATCTGCGTTTCACTGGGGATGATGGTCGAGTGATGATGCTTTTATGTTCACATTTATTTCCGGCTTTATACAGCGCACGTCATGCATTTGGCACAGCTGAAAGAGCATTGGAAATGATGCATTCACGTATTTATTGTATAATCGTACTACATAGCTTTCAATATATAAACACACCCTCAAAACACAATGAAATACATCTTTGGTCATTTGTTTTTGCTTTGGCAAACTAATTTATTTTGTTTGCATACATGGTTTTGTTTTTTCTGCTCATACTAACAACAGAACTGTTGTTTACTATATACATTTTTTGTTTATTCTGGAAATATATCATATTCAAACAAACCAAGAGCAATAAAAAGAGTTCCCAGTTTCAGACTTTAATTGATTTTAACAGCAAAAAGATACTGTAAGCCTTCATGGATACCAAATTAATTGATTAACTTGATATTTTATTCCTCTAAGGGACACAGTTTGGGCACAGATTGAACATACATACTAAAAACATACAAAGACATTGCTCACACATTAACAGACACCCAGTAAGCCTAACAGTGTCAGTACTGCAGAATAAAAACAATACAGAAATAAACTTTATCTTTGTGAACACCATAGTCTATAAGGGAGAACTAATACAATTGCCATATTTCCGTGAGCAGTGAAGGCCTCATGTACCTTGTGCGTATTATAAAAGTACATTTATTTGTTTAATGCACTAATATTTATCATTATTATTATTATTTATTAATATTTTGCTCTTGCAATAACTGAATAACGGACAGTTGTAATTCTCCTCTCGACCAGCAGGAGGCGACAAACCAATCCTATTATTGGAGAGACTCCGGGCCGCTAGGGGGCGCTGTGTGGTGGTGTTGTTTATCACTGCAGGGAAGATGGCAGACTCTGAAGAGCCAAAAGCAGGTCCTTGCACTTTTCTGTTCAAAAAATCTACTAAAAAGTTCTCCGGACGAAAGAGGAAAGCAAGCGACAGCGACAAAGGTATTAACTATTAATTGCACTCGTGTTTTTCTCATAATAATAATCCCCTTTGTGTGTGTGTGTCTTTGTCAAAGGCCCTGAAGTGTCAAACACAAAATAGCTTAGCTTATAATCACTGTAAGCGTTTGTGTGTTTGTGTATTGTTGTATTTTAATTACGATGTTTGTCTAGTAAGAGCCAAAGTGCCGTAAAAACCGCGGAAAGGTGAGAACAACTCTGTAAATGTGGACATTTTTGTAAAGTTTTTCGTCTCTGTTAAAAACATCCGACTATTCGTGCTGCGTTCCAGTGTCCTCGGAATTTAGAGAACTGTGTACGTTTTAACTACGTTTTAATCTTTCCAGGTTTATTCAGATGTCGCAATAATGCAGAAATAATAAAAAACAATACAGAAGTTATAAGTTTAATTTGTTCTTCTTTACAGATGGCAACAGTGATGAGGACCAGAGCTCTGTGGTTAGAAAAGGGAAGAAAGACACTCGAGTCAACCCCATGATTCAAAGGGTATAATAATAATAATAATAATAATAATAGGGGGTTTAATGGTGAGTTAAGCTTGACCCTGGTCTTGTCCCTGTTCAGTCAAAGAAGGTGGAGAAAGACGTGGTATCTTCCAGTGAAAGTGAAGAGGACAAAGAAGACAAGAAGATCACGGTCGCCTACAAGTCCACACGGTCAGCAGTAAGTTAGGACTTCTCTTTCATATTGCATTTTGTACGAGTGGTAGGAACCATAAACTGCAATAGTTTAGGGTAGTTAATGTGTCAATAAGAAAAGGGGGATGTAATCTTGCTCTTGTTCTACATACATGTTTGTTTTGTGCCATATTTCTAACTCTTTCTCTCAATCTTGCCCCAAAACAGAAACCAGAGGGGCCCGAGGACATGGGTGCAACCGCTACATATGAGCTGGACACAGAGAAAGACAAGGACGCTCAGGCCATCTTTGAGAGGAGTCAGAAAATCCAAGAGGTAGGAGATTACGTGACGTTATTTTTAGGGTTGCGTTTTTGCAAAAAGCTATAATTGAATATACATTTATGATGAGTTTCTTCATACATTTTGATATATCTTAGCAGTATTGGCAAACTAGCTGCTGATGACTATTGTAAAAAGTGACCAAGTCATACCTGAAATCAGGGCTGAGGTGATTGGCTGATAAATGTTTTATAATAAGTGTTTCATTACTGTCAATATGGATAATGATTGAGATTACTATTTTTAATAAAGAACAGGTGGAAAAAAAGGTTTTCCACTTTATTTATCAAGGTACACAGGTGATAATTTTATTGTTTTGTCATACGTTATTGTTGCTGAGTACTTCTTCATCATGGATTGTTTCTGGAGATGTAACAGATGTTCTTAAAAATTTAAACATCTGCTTTAATGTGAAATTATGCACACATTTGTTTCTGCCAGATAATTTTTACGTTCACTTACTGGACAAACCCTTTTTTCCTCTTTGAACAGGAGCTGACGGGTAAAGAGGACGATAAAATCTACCGCGGGATCAATAACTACCAAAAGTTCATCAAACCAAAAGATACCACGATGGGCAATGCCTCCTCTGGCATGGTCAGGTGAGCACCGAGCTTCCTTAGTGTTTGCTTTCCTAAGACATTCTTCACCTATGAATGCTAATATGTAATCAATTGTTGTTGATTCATATAATTTCACTCGATATTTTTAACAGAAAAGGACCAATCCGAGCCCCTGAACACCTGAGAGCCACAGTCAGGTGGGACTACCAGCCAGACATCTGCAAGGACTATAAGGAGACTGGTTTCTGTGGTTTTGGAGGTGGATATGAGATTTTTTACTATCAAAACATCAGTCACCTGTTGAATAACTAAGTAAAACTTGACACCTCGAGCATTCACTTCAGTGTTCATATCTTTCTCTCCTACCATTTAGACAGCTGCAAGTTCCTTCACGACAGATCAGACTACAAACACGGGTGGCAGATTGAGAGGGAACTGGAAGAGGGCAGATACGGCGCCAATGGTGAGTTCAGAAGGAGGAGCTGATGTCAGTTTTGTGTGCGCCTACATCAGCATTCCCTGAACAATACTGTGCTTTCATCTAGACGATGAGAACTACGAGGTGAGCAGTGACGACGAGGATATGCCCTTTAAGTGTTTCATCTGCAGGGAGTCCTTCAAGAATCCCATTGTCACAAAGTAAGCCTCTTGTCCTCTGCTCTTTCACTGTGCAGAGCTGTGTTTATTACCAGTATTAACCAGTCAAATGTCTCCCAGGTGTAAGCACTATTTCTGTGAGACCTGTGCCCTTCAGCATTACCGCAAGTCCAAGCGTTGCTATGTGTGCAACACTCAAACCAACGGTGTCTTCAACCCCGCTAAAGGTAAGCAGGCTCTGGCAAAAGAGCTACTGCTAAGAAACTCATGTGATGGATGCAACTTAATGATTCCCTTCAATCAATGTTTTCTATTATTTTCTCTTTATTCCAGAGTTGATGGCCAAGATGGAGAAACGCCAAGCTGCAGCAGACCAGCCACCATCAGATGAGGAAGATTAGCAACATCCAAACCCTTTTCAACCCTCCCCTAATGTGTTTGTCTGTATAAATTTGGAATAAAATACCTTTTTTTAAGATAGTTAACTGCCTCACTGTGTGGTACCATCGAGTTAAAACATCAAAGTGAACAATGTTTATTGTTAAAAGTCAAGTTTGACATTTGCAACACTTTGTTTTGCCCCAACATTCAAATGTACAAGCAGACAAAACAAGCACCAATGTAACATTCACGTTTGACATAAGTAACATCACACCCAGAGTAAGTTCAAGGAAATACATACTTCTATGCTCTGAAGGTTAAACTAAACCGATGTAAAGCTTAACCTGTGTGCAACAAAAGTAATGCGTAAAGCATGACATGTTTACACTGTAACACAGCCAGAGAGCTAAGAAATGCGTATACATGCTGTTCATAAAGTCGATACTCTCCGTCTGGTGTAGAGGGGGCTGAGTGAGCTGTGAGGACCAGTGTGCACCCTTACGGTGGTCCCACTGACCAGATGGGCCACATCAAGCGGCCACGTTCAAAGAAGAGGTAGAGTGTCCCCTCTAAATATTTAGTAGCAGCTTCCCACTGATTCATTTCATGAGAATCTTTCGGTTTTAGGCTACATCTAGATCAATAGACCCTCCTCTGAAACCTCAGCAACGGCATGAGGAATAGAGGAGTCCTTTAATGTTTTGGCTCCGGGGGGGTGGTTGTCGTGTGTGAGTACAATCTGTAAACGTCTGTGTGTGTGTGTAAATAAAGAGAGGCCATCAGTGCAGTGCAAGAGTCTGTGCATATCTAGAGAACCAAAGCGTGCGAGAAACATCAAGAAGAGGCAAGATGGCTGCTGGCTTTTAAACCTCTGTCTGAGAACAGCAACCCTTTTTAGTTTGATATTTAAATTATTTACAAGGGGACCGTTACAAAAACAAAGCTCGTCCTGTATGCTCAGAGGGTTTCCCGTCAGAATCCTACAAGTGTCTCCCCACCAAGTCCTCCATTGTCAGAAGTCCCAGTCGTCCACCTCCAAGTGGCTGAGACCCGACTCCAGACTAGCCAGTCCAGAGGGAGAGTCCTGCGGGTGGGAGCTCTCGTAGCTGGTGATAGGCGACACGGGCCGCAACAGCTCAGGCAGCGCCTCTGAGGGCCGCCGTTTGATCTGAGAGGGCGAAAAATAGAACACTTGAGGACAATCTTTAATTATTTTTCAATGTATTCTTCACATTATACCTAGCAAAATAAGTTTCAAATTCATAATATTCAAATTGAGGTAAATGGAAAAATGAATGGCATGGTGGAGTAAATTTAGGCAGACAGCTATGGAAATCTTTAGTTTTATTGTTTTGGATTATGCCCATACAGTAAGTATGAATGTATTTTTGAACTCCTCTGAACTATTACACCACAAAGTACTGTTTCACCTGGTGTTAGAGGAACAGACATAAAAGGGAAATGACATTTGCTTTTAGTTACTAAGCTACGAATACAGTTATATAACAGAATAAAACAGTAATAACCTGATATCTTACACACCTGTTTGAAGAAAGGATGGCCTACGAGAGTGGTGGCAGATGGTCTGATGGAAAACAAAGAGAAAACGATTAATAGTCTTGAAGCTTAAAAATTCTACATGTCCTATAAAACATTTAAGCATGCAAGGAAGAAAAAGGCAAACCTCTTTTCTGGGTCTCGCTGTAGACACAGCTCGACAAAGGCGTGGAAGTGCGGGGAGAACGTCCGGTTGTAAGGGTGTCCTGAGGAAGAGGAGGAGGGCTCTCCGTTGGAGTGCCGAACACCTCCGGCTCCTGGTCCCTCGCAGATCCCAGAGTCGGCCCCAGAGCGAGAAGGTTTCAACGACAGCTCCTCTGGTGGGATAGTGGTGGTGTCCAGCAAACACGGCACCGTCCCATTTAGCTTCTCCAGCAGCATCTGTGGATAATGAGTGTTAAGTTTACAGATCTTTACCTTTCAACTGAGGAGATACAGCCCTTTAATCAATGTACAGTTTAAAATGGAACAAGGTAATATTATTAGTACAGTACTCTTTAGTTGTTGTTTTTTTTACTAAATTATTGGCTAAAACCAGATACTGTGATGCAGAAGAGCAGCTAGTGAGTTGATAGGTCTCTTCTCACCTGTGTAGCTGGCATGTCTTTAAAGGGCACATGTCCATTTGCAAGTTCACAGGCTGTGATGCCAAGGCTATAAATGTCTGACCGAGAATCGTAGCCCTGCAGGTTCTGAGAAAAAAAACATTCACATATTAAATTTACTGTCAATGTCATCACCATTTCACTTCTAATTTAGCTGATAAATACAGCATGGAGAAGTGTTGGACTTTGACTGCAGCAATTTAAAAACGTGGACCAGGAGCAGAGACAGTATTACATAATGCCTGACTGTGAAGGAATGCAGTACTGTACCTGCTGCAGCACCTCAGGGCTGAGCCAGGGCAGCACCTTGACGCTGTACTGGGGGAAGTCATGGACAACTCTGGCCCTCTGGCCATGACGGATCAGACTGAAGATGCTCCGTAGACCGGACATGCAGACCTGCCCGTCAGCTGAGATCAACACATGGCTGGCCTTCACACTCCTGCACATAACCAAAGACATTTAAGACACTAAATATCACAATGACCTATATGTCATGTTGATTTATCAATATTGTCAATTTATTAAAACAGAAATAAACCGCAACTATGACATAATGATTCTTGATTCCTTCCCCTAACTAACACTGTTAGTTCTAGTCAGCCTGGACTCCACATAACTGTTTAAAGTTAATCAGAGAAAATCTTCCAGTTTCCCTGGGAGGATTTTACAGTATGCAACAGCTTCACTGTGTCAATTGCACCTCCTCTAAACCTAATAAAATGTCATTACTTTGGCTTTCAGTGGAGTGTTTTATTGTCCCATTATGGCATACATACTGTTTCACATGCTGTTTAGAAGTGTATCTTACCGGTGTACATATCCCATGTGGTGAATGTATTCAAGAGCTTTGAGCATGCCCAGCAAAATGTAGGCGATGGTAAGCTCAGCCATACCATCAGTGAAATGTGTGCAGATCAGATCTCTGGCAGACCCTGAAATACCATCAAACACAGATAATCATGATTGGAAAGCTGCTCTCTATTAGTACAGGCTACTTTAATATAATATTGTTAACATACTTTTATTACATATAACAGTGAGTTTAAGTGTGTTTTTTTACCATAAGCCATGAAGGGTGTGATGACCCACAGCTCATTTTCAGCTATAAAGACACTCTTGTAGGGTAGAATACTGGGGTGGTGAAACAACTTTGACACATGTAGTTCACCCTGCGAGGCAGAGAAAAGGAAATTATACCTCATTATGTCGAGATGACAGGCAGAGGACAAAAGATGATTCTGATTCTAATTAGAAATAGGACAGGCGAGCAGTAAAGACGGGAAAGTTAATAAGAACAAAGACACGGGTTACATAAGTATTCCCAATGAAGCGGCGAGATGACAGAAGGGAAATTTTATCCACTAACAAGAGGGAGGCAAAGACTACAGGGGAGCTGAGTCATGTCAGAGTGATAAGATCGAGTGCTGATGCAGACCTGCAGGTAGGTAACCATGTCATTAGTGCACGACTCCAAGTCAATCCGTCGGATGGCTACGTGCTCCCCGGTGGGTCTGTATCGAGCCAGATTCACTGTCATCAAGTCGTCCAATCCCCGGCCTACAGCACAGACAGACTTACTTTACATAACTGTTCATGTCATTGTTACACTAGTATCCTCCAGTCCTCTGTATTTTAGTATTTATGTTGTAAATGTGGATGTAAATACCACACAAATGCAAAGCTTAGCAATATTACTTTTTAGCAACAGGTCCAGAAACTGCATTGCAAAATAAAAGTATTACATTATTACCATTTGGATACCTTTTATTAAAAAACCCAGGATGTGTTGAAGAGGTAATACTTAGGCAAATACAGTTTCTAATGTCTTACTTCTAATAAAAAAAAATCAAACATGCGTATCTTAAAATCAATACAAACATGTCCATGTGTGAATTTGCCTGTATGTACCGATAATGATGAGGAGCTCGTAGGAGTTGCTGTCAGGGAGGAAGCTGCCCATGGTGTCCCGACGTGGGAGGGAGGTCAGACTCTCCTGGCTGTCCTCATGGGCCTGGAAGTCAGGGTGAGGAAACAGAGTGAGTGAAGACGGGCTGTGAAACTGACTTCACTTGCTACAGTGCAGGACTGTGTTACAGAGCTTGTGAATGACTACCGGACAGTTGGCCATATGTGTGAGAACTGTTACAAGATCACCAAAGGACAGGGGTGTGTTATCAAGGTGTGTTAGCGTGACTAGCCAAAGAAAAAAAAAAAAAAACAGGAATTGGAAGACATACTGGCACTTCAAACCATCATCAGCAAAGTATTTAAAGTATTTACTGTAGGTCTAGTAATTGAAGCATAGTCCAATACAACAGATCCGTTCAATATAAAACTGCACGTGTTGTTTTAATGGCCCAAGACAAATCATAATATGTGGTTATTCTTAGATTAACTACTGCTTCAGAATATAAAGTAAATACAGACTCACAAAGTGTGGTCTACACATAAACTATGCCCTCCTGTGATTAGTTTAAATTATTTTAGACTTGTGCATAGAGAAAAATGAATATTCGTGGCAGTGAGGACTCCTGAATTCCATCAATGTATCGCCCCTCGAATGATGGAAATGGACAGATTGCAGTAGCAAGCTGTGGAAGCAAATGGAAGTGTTTGATGAGCTGTATGAATATTTGGATCGTTTCCACCAGACCAGAATGAAGACGCACATTCAGAATTAGAATAGTGCACTTCCTGGAGCATAAGTGAATCCTATAAAATCGGAGGAGACTTCAAGATCAAGAGACACACACAACTCCAATATCCACAAGAGTTCTCCGGATGTGAAGCCAAATGATGCCTTTTGCCATATATAAACTTTTACAGACTCTACATTAAAACTGGCATGACGACAAAGTCAGACATGCTATGGCATCCATCGCTTCAGGGAACAACTGTAAATGTTGATCTAATCACATGGGCACAAATGTGATCAGATTCAGAAGTGGTTGCCATGCATTGCTAAAGCTGAACACATGGCACTCCATCCATCTACAGCCCGCAGGGACACACAGTGGCTGACATCAAAGTGTGACTAAAAGAGTGACGCTCTCAGTTCACCATCGATAGCAGGCCGTCAGCACAGACAGGTGGTGTTAAAACGTAAACACTCACAACAAAAATTTGACATTTAGTGAGGTGACACCAAAATCCAAAACAAAGCCTTGAGCACAGCATGTTAACAGCACACTGAAGACTCGGACAGGACTATTTATTCTCTTTGAGGAACAAAGCATGACAGTACACTCTGCTGTGTCACCCTCTTCCCCAACAGAAGCCCTGGTGAGTGAGGGGAGGTCTCCTTCTGAGCTACAAGCACGTACAGCGTGTGTCATGAACTACACACTCATGCATACATAAATGTGCAAAGCCTCAGGGTGGTGGTGGGGGGGGGGGGGGGGGTTGTGAATCCTCTATAACTATAAATCTGTGTGCGCAAGCATACACATGGGCATGCACGCACATACAAAAAGGGGAAATGGGGGGTGGGGGGGTGATGATGCAGTGACAGGAGTACCACACTTACTTTCCTGTGAGAGAGTCCCTGAGCTTGCTCTGGGGTAGAAAAACCACATCAATGGCATAGAGACATGAACACACACAAAACAAGAGAAGGATCTGTGTTTAGAGCAGCTCTTGAACTGGGAAGCGCAGCACCTGGCAGTGGGAGTCTGCAGCAGGCTGCAGAATTTGATAGATGACGTTTGCTGATTTCCCCTGTCGCTAACAGGATTTGTCTGAACCAGCAGTTTCGTCATTCAGGTTGCCACCCTCGAAGTGATGCATCATTATCAATAAATACATCAATTAGACAGTTTTCGTGTTAACTTGTGGGAACATGATTAAACTGAAACTGAACTGCAGAAACTAATTCTCAACCCAGTAAAGTGCTTACATAGGCACAAAATACTTCTTTCCAAAAAAATGAAAAAATGAAAAGTAATCTAGCTAAAGCCTGCAGGTTCTTCCCAGATATTATGTAAGGCGATGGGAACACAGCGCAGCCAAAACAGAAATAATACACTTGAGCAAACATGCAACACTGAGCAATGATTTGCCTGCAAGAAAATGAAAATGAGGCAAAGCTTGTGTAGAAAGAAAGCATTGGCTAATCCACCCCAGAACCTTTCCATAATACACAAAAGCTTCAATAATGTGCCAAAAACTAGACTTATTATGAGGAGAAACATGCCACTTAAAAATATAAACAACCCAGTGATACAATTTGTAACTACAGTCCTGGAAGTGACCCTTTCGCTCTACTTTCACATACCGTACAGTAGTT